GGCACTGTGGGTTAGGCATTGGACTGTTAACCACAAGGTCAGTAGTTCAAACCTACCACTCAAGGAGCGAAAGATGAGGCTGCCTGCTCCCAAAAAGGTTTAGTCTCAGGAACCCTGCGTTTCCTGTTTCCATTTCTCTTTTCCTAGTCTTTTGTGCCCGGAACAAGAGGAGGCTTTCTGCTTCTGCACAATTGAAAAGAAGTCTGAGAAACCCTATACAGGGTTGCTATGAGTTGGAACCAACTCAGTCGCACTTAACTGTATATCAGGGCCACTCTGAGTAAGATCAACGAAAGGGCACTAAAAGGAACCCTGGTTGCACAGTGGCTAAGCACTACGCCGCTAGCCAAAAGTCAACCCCCTAGTGGCTCTGGACAGGCACGCTGTGACAGTCTGCTCTTATAGGAAACCTCAGTCCTGCACGGTCACTATAGTCGGAGAAGGACGTGGAGGTTAGGGTTAGGCTTGGCCTTCAGTGCCAGTAAGGAGAGCTCCAACAAAAGCCCCGAAGAGGAAGTGCCTGGATAAACTGAAGATACACTCCGGGAGACTGTAACCAGAGTAACCAGAATAACTCGTTCCATAATTCTCTTAGAAGTTCAATAGTTTTCCAGTTGATTAAAGGGGACTTTCCTGGACATCTCTTCAAAGGATAAAATATAATGATGGGACTTCTAACCATTTGGATTTTAGATGACTTCTTTCCATCATTCCTTGTTTTAAAACGTCTCTAATAACAATATAAAATAAATCCGTTTTGGAAGAAGTGCAGCCAGAGTGCTTCCTGGAGGCCAAGATGGCCAAACATCATCTCTCATACTTCGGACATATTGTCAGGAGGGACCAGTCCCTGGAGAAGGATATCATGTTTTGTAAAGTGGAGGGTCAGAGAAAAAGAGGAAGACCCCCAATGAGATGGATTGGCCAAGTGCAGCATCCATGGACTCAAGCATGGCAACAGTAGTGAGGCTGGCCCAGGATCGGGCAGTGTTTTGTTCTGCTGTGCATAAGGTCACTATGGGTCGGTACCGACTCGATGGCACCTAACAACAACAACAAAAACAATAACAATGATGCTTAGGAACAAGTTTGTTTGCTTGTTTACAATGAAAGGTAAGAGAAAACAAATTTACCACATATAACCTAAAACAGGAGTCCTGGAGTGGCACTGGGGGTTAACACACAGGACTGCAAAGTCAGTTTGAACCACAGGTCAGCAGTTCTACCTGTTGCTCCTCGGAAACACTATACAGGGTCACTGTGCGTCAGAATCAACTTGACGGCACTTAACAACAACAACCCTAAAACAGGAGGCCTAGAATGGTGCTCTGGGCTAATGCACTGGACTACAAAGTCAGTTTGAACCACAAGGTCAATAATGGTTCCAGCTCATCAGCTGCTCCTTAGAAACCCTATACAGTTGGCATGGGTTGGGACTGACTCGATGGCACTTAACCACAACAATCCTAACACAAGAGCACTGGTATGGCACTGTAGGATCAGCACTGGATTGCTAACCATAAGGTGGGCAGTTCATACCCACCAGCTGCTGATAGAAAGAGGGTCGCTATGAGTCACACAACAAAAACAACAACACCCTAAAACAAACAGACAATCCACTGCTACCAAGTCAACTCTGACTCACAGTGATCCTGTCGAACACAGTGAACAGCCCATAGGGGTTCCAAGCCGTGACTACCCGACAGGGCTTTCCAGACGGGAACTCTTCATAGATGCGGACTGCCACATCTTTCTCACGTGGCGCTTTCCGTTAGCAGCCGAGCGCTTTAACCACCGTACCACCAGGTCTCCATATTCCCTAGCCATACTCAAATCTTGAGACACAGGAATGGTACGAAAAATGTAAAAAATAAATCAGTTCCTAGACACACGCTAGGACTTTCCTAAATTAGATCATAATAACCCTAAAGGTCAAATAAAGGCAAAAACACTTTCATTCTTAGTCTAAGGCATCATCTGGCTCTTTGCAGTGAGCTGTGAAACTTCCCCATCAACATTAAAATTCATGCTCCAGATTTCTATGAGAAACTAAAAGCGAAGGACTATGCAAGGGAGAAAGAATGAACTATCATATAGATCGAAGATTAAGGCAAGCCTTCTTATTCCTATCTCAAGGAGATACTGAAGGGTAGGTCAAAAGTTCTGTTCTGTGTTTTAAAAAGCAAGAGAAACGAATTTGTCTCCTGTCGGGTCAGCACTGGACTGTGAACCACAAGGTGGGCAGCTCAAACCCACCAGCTGCTCCTCGGAAACCCCATACAGGGTCACTATGAGTCAGAACCAAGTCAACGGCACTTCACAACAAGAATCCAGCCCCCACCAGGCAGTGACAGCAGATCTACTCTCCCCTGAGGGAGAGTACAGCATTACTGTGTCACTTTCTTCACTGAAACTCCTCAAGAGGGTACACTGTCCATTCCTAGGGTGCAGAGGCCTCTCCATGATCTATCAAGCTACACACCAAGAGAACGGACACTCACCCACATATTGTGTATCCTGGTCCAGGGTTTAGAAGGTATGCTACGGAATTAAACATAGTTAGCAGGTTTGCACTAAGCAAATCTGCTGCAAAAGACCGCTTTTAAAGTGCTCAAGATACCAGTTTGAGAACTTTAGGACTAAGATGCACCTGACCAAGCCAGAGTATTTTCAATCTCTTCATCTGCAAGTGAAAGTTAGGCAATGAATAAGACAGAATTTCTATATTTGAATTATGGTGTTGGAGAAGAATAATGGAAGTATCGTGGACTGCCAGAGGAACAAACAAATCTGTCTTGGAAAAGAACAGTCAGAACACTCCTTAGAAGCAAGATGGTGAGACCTCATCTCTTGGTTTTTTGGGCATATTCTCTGGAAAAGGACATCATGCTTGGTCAAGTGGAGGGACAGCAAAAAAGAGGAAGACCCCCCCAATGAGATGGACGGGCACAGTGGCAGCAGCAATGGGCTCAAACATCACAGCAGTTGTGAGGTTGGTGCAGGACTGGGCAGTGTTTCATTCTGTTGTACATAGAGTCACTATGAGACAGAGCCGATGCAACTGCACCTAACAAGAACCAGGTTCCTAACTATAGGACCCCTCCACGCCTTTAATTTGCTTATATGTATCATGAAGCTCCCCAAATTCATCATGGAAACTTTTTCAATGTACCAGTCCTCTGAGGAACACTCTTAGGGACCGACTACTCTCCAGTCACCTCATAATCTGCCTCTTCTCCAGCATGCTGCCCTCTTCCATTCTTGTCCTTTGACACATCTTGAAAGGACGAGTCTTTCTGTGCATTTTCTTCTCTGTTTTCTCCACAGACCCCTAAGCCCTCTGGGGCCTGGTTTCTCCTTCTCTTTTGATGCAGAAATTGTGAGTCTCTACATATGCCACTGTTTCTCATGTTCTTCACCTGTCTACTTTGTACTCCCCTCCCAAAATGCCTCCTCCCCCTCTTTTAGTATTTCCAGTCTTCTTTTAAACATTAAAAAGAAAGAGAAAAGAAAAAATACAGAGTAAAAAAAACAAGTGATCAGAAGTGACAACATTAGAATATATATTAGTGGCCTTTTACCTCAAGTGTTTTCCTTTTTAATACCAGGACAAGCCATGATACAGCTGAAGTGCTTTGATTTCTAGGAGCAGCCAGTTCCCTCTTCTCTCCCTAAAGGCAGGCACCTGCACGAGAGTGCTGCTGAGCCTTCCAGTCCACTTTTACACACTTACATGCACATGCATGCATTCATGAGCAAAGGAGAAAATCATGTTGCACATGACAAAAACCGAACAAAATCACATCATGTAATAAGTACACCTTAGTCACTTTCTTTTTTACTCAGCGCTGCTTTAGCGATCCATCTATATTGACTCTTGACCATCTCCACTGCCCCTATTGCTCTGTGGACAGCCCAGCCATTGACAGATCAGAATGTACCAGCTGCTTCACAGGCTCCTCATAGTCACTCCTCCAAATGCCCTCACTGGCACGGGGTAGGGATGGCAGTCTTTCCAGGTTTGACCTCACCCCGGGCTGGACCCTCAACCCTGTGCTAAGCTGTCCTCTTACTCTCACTAGCCAGCTGAGCACTATTCTTGTGTCACGTGCCCTAACCCTCAGAATCACCCTGTGTGTCAAATACGATGACTGGTCCCATTTTACATATGAGAAACTGACGCTGGAGCAGGTACTGGAACCTTGGTGTACGCCACAACTATGCAGCCTCAGAGTCCAAGTCCTTATGCTCTAGGCTAAATGACAGGATGCTTTTCAAAAAAAAACAAAAAAAGTAGGACATGGGATTCAGAAAATGAAGGGTGTGAGGTTAAGGTCATGTGTCAACTTGGCCGGGCAATGTCTCTCAGAGGTTTAGCAGTTATGATGTAGTTATCCTGTCGACGTGGTCAGATCTGATACCATGGAACCATCCCCACATGAGCACTGCTAGGAGTACCCACCAGCTGAAAGGGCTTTCTGAATCAAGTCTGGATGGACACTCTGGCAAAGCTCTCTAGTTTGGGGCTGGCTCTGGATCCTGCAACCAGCTCTCATCATCTGACCTCCGCCTCCAAGGACTTGAGGCAGCCATCTGCCACACTGCCCGATGATCCTGGGATTTGTCAGCCTCCACAGCCCGTGAGCCAGCAAGCCGCAATCTGACCTGATGATCTGGGGTTCGGCAGCCCCTGAAGTTAGGGAGTTAGGTGAGGCCTCCAATCTGATGTCTGATCCACCAACTTGGGGTTTGCCAGCCTCCAGAGTCATGTGAGCCATTTCCTTGAGCTAAATCTATCTATGAAGGAGGTTTCAAAAAGCTGATGGAAAATGGAATTAAAAGACTTTTCCCATAAACTTGTCAACCTCCCTCCTGTATAGACACATAAGTTTCACTGGTTTCTCTTCTCTGGAGCACCCAGCCTAGACAGAGGTCCACATCAGGACACCGAGCCATGAGATGAGGTCACAGCAGTGGTCACTCTGGGAGGTGATACTCACAATCATGAACCTTGTAGCAGTGTTTCTGCAGACGCTTCACGTCCTGCTCCTCTAACACGCCGTGAGTCATCAGCAACTGGAGGAATCGCCGGTGGACATCAGTCATGACGCTCATTCTTCTTGGACCGCACTGCATCTGTGAAGGACTGAGGAAGAAGAAAATGAAATGGAGTCGTGTCCAGGCACAGCAGAAGCAAGACCCCAGGTTTGGTAATAATGTGTTGGTGTGAGGTATCATCGTGTGGGTTCCCGATGTGTGTAGCGACCCTACGTACAACAGAAGGAAACGCTGCGCAGTCCTACAACATCCTCACCCTCATTGCCGTGTTTGAGACTAATGTTGCAGCCACTGTCTATCCATCTCATACGAACTTATATCAATTTTCTGTGATTTTCAAAATTAAGGTCCTCATGCTAAGTAGTATAAAAGTGAAAAGAACACAAATCAGAGGTGAGGCCGATTGGTCCCGGGCAGTGGTGAGTGTGGAGTCTGGAGTCAGAACGCTGGGGTTCACAGCCTGCTTCCACTGTTTATTAGGTGTGTGAAGCTGAGCGGCAGCCTCAGTGTCATGTGTGACAGAAGTATTCGCTACAGGGTCGCCATAAGGATTAGCTGAGTTATTCCACGTGCATAAAAGCCTGATACAGAGGAAGCACTAATGAAGTACTACTAATTTGTATTCTTAGGCAATTCTGGAGCTGAAACTTAGCTCAGCCACTTACCAGATCTAGGGCCTGAGATAATTTAGCTGACGCCCAAGTTCTCATTACTGGCAAACACTTCATAGATGTTCATTTCCTTCCCCAAACCTCTAATGAAACAGCTGTCATGGCAAGATTGCAAAGTATTTGAAAAGCTCCTGCTCTCTCATAAAACGGTATCTTTCCACAAACCACAAAGCTCAGGCTGATGAAAGTATTACACAGGTGCTGATCCCAAGCTCTGATCTAAATGTCTGTTCAATGCAACTGAGAGGAACAGCAGTGCAGGGGCTGAGAGGGAGGATCTAGAAATGAACAGGCAACACCGAGGCCAGACCTACCAAGTCTTAAGGATCACTTAACCTGCTTGTTAAAGATGCAGATTCTCAGTTCCCTCTCCCCAAGGTTCTGACTGCAGACGGGCCTGGAATCCTGAGATCCTGACATTTACTTCACGTGGCACATGACCTGACAGGAAACTTACTGTTACCTTTCCCAAACACAGCACAGAAACATTGTCAGCTAGCATACACAAACCTGCGCCTCAGTTCTTCTGTCAATAAAATGGGGATAATAACTACAGTAAAGGAGTATGGTGAAGCTTCAAAGAAATACGACTATCAAAGGCTTGCTGAGTCCCAGGCACAGGCAATACACAAACCTTCTTTTTAATCTGCTTTTTAACACCATCAATCCCACCATAGAGCTGGGAAGATGACTGATAAACACCCTGAAGAAACCTCACCAGCATCTATCTCAACGTCAACAATTCCTAAATTGGACTCGTCCTCTCACGGCTTTCCTTCCCCCACGTCCTCCTCATTAGTACTATGGTTTCAATGGTACCATTCACACGGGTGTACCAACTCCGGTCCTCCTCTTACCCAACCTCAAATTCAGCAGGTCATCAAGTCCTAGCCTAGGTCGTTTCCGATCACTAGGCTGGGGTACCTTCATTCCTCTGCCCGCTCACTGAAACGAGCATCCCTAATTTCCCAGCCGTTGTGGTGGACCCAGAGACAGAGTGTGTCAGACTAAGGAGTTTGCCTTTTTATTCCAGGAACTTTGGAGACTTAAGGCTCTCAGAGGGTGGCACAGCCAGACAGTGCTTCACAGTGGCATCTCCTCAGGAATGTGAAGACAAACCAGAGAAGCACAGAAACTGGAGGCAGAGTCCAGAAGTCAGTCAGTCCAGTAACGGAGGCTCAGTGGTGGGGACAGCTGGGGAGAATCATGCCCACCACATCCTGAGCACCCCGAGTGCCAGGCTCCTTACTGACTTTGTGACCCCTTATTTTAAACAATCCTCACAAACAACAATGAAAAGGAGACATTATTCTATCTGCTTTAATGTGTTTGAACTGAATGGAGATGAGGTTTAGAAGGTAATAGAAAAACATAGAGAAGGCTCGAGTAGGCAAAGACGGCAATTTTTAAACTGTCTCTCCTGGGATTTTAGGTCCTAGGGTGGAGCATTGCTTACTATATTCTGCAGAATTTGCCTTCACCCCAATGATTGATGCAAGTTGAGGTTCAAGCCTAACCTCTGACTCTGAACTGCAATGCTTAGAAATCAAGTTTGACTGGGCATGTCCACACAGAGTGAAACCAAGAGTTTTGAACTCCCAAAGAGTGACAGTCTTCTTTGTTGTTAAGTGTTGTTGAGCTGGTTCTGACTCACAAAGACACCGGGTATCAGGTTTCCAGGGAGCCCAGTGCACCACTCCAGGACTCCCCAGCTACCATAGAGGTGGTAGTGGCTGTGTGCCCTCGGACAGGTTCCAACTCAGAGTAACCCTGTAAAGGGTTTGAGGCTGTAAATCTTTCTAGAAGCAGTCTCTGTCTTTCTCCACGGAGCACCTGGTAGATCTGAACTGCTGACCTTGTGGTTAGCAACCCAACTTGTAACCCACTATGGTACCAGGGCTCCCCTAATCTACCACAGTGACTCCTCATCTTTTGGGGTTCACAACCCCTCTTCAGAAAAAGACTGGAAATGAAAACAAACAGGCAATCTCAAGGACACTTGAAAAGTGAAGTCATTCAAGGATGTCTATCTAGATGCCAAATTAAGAATTTCTGCTCAAGAAAGACTCTTAAATTTTTTTCTTAAATGCCTATTTCAAGTGAGTCAAGAAAATGCAGATATTTCCAATGCTATGCAATGCATTTGGAGTCCTGGTATGGCGCTATAGGATAAGTACTGGACCAAAAGGTCGGTTTGAACTACAAGGCCGGCAGTTCAAACTCAGCAGCTTCTCCTCAGAAACCTGCTACTAGGCCGCTATGAATTGGAACCAACTCGACGGCACTTCACTCTTCAATGCTTTATACAGAAAAGTCTAGAAGAATAACAGTATCCTCTGTCTTCACTAGGAGTAAAACCTATCTCTGCCAGCAAGTTGGTTACAACTCACAAAGACCCGTAGCACAGAATAGAACTGCTCCCCTAAGACTTCTGAAACTGGAAATCTTTACCAAAGCAAACAAGCGCATCTTTCTCCACAGAGCACTTGTGGGTTCAAACAATAGACCGCGCACTTAGCAGCCCAACTTTTAAATACACTGTGCTGAACACAGTGTGTTGCCAGGATTCCTTACAACATATAGAATCTGAAAGTTTCCAGTAGCATTTGTCGGTAGGGGAGTGCATGAAAATAAAAGTGAATAGCCAAGAAGATTCAAAAGGAACAAAAGATAACTAAAATGAAAAATAAAAGTAAGATTTCACTGAATCGAAATTAAAAGTGAACTGGACACGGCTCAACAGCCAATCTGTCGACTAAAAGGAGAAATTAATCAGAACACAGACCAGATGGGGAAAAATAGAGATTGGAAGATATGGAGAGCAAAACAAAAATCATTCTTTTTAAAATTCTAGAAGAAATTAGAGAGAATGGCTAAAAACATACTAAAACCAGTGTGAAGATATTAATTCCCATAGTCGAAAGACCCACCAAACCCAAGCAAGATAAACTTAACAACTATGTGAATCATAATAAAATTGCAGAAATATGATATGAAAAAAGGCTAGAAGCCACCAGAGAAAAAAGTCAGATTACTTTCAAAAGAGCGTCAACAGACTGACAGCTAACGTCACAACAAAAATGAAATGGAATGCAATTATAACGGAGGGACGGCTCCAAGAGGCTGGGAGGATGTGTCACCGGAATGAAAATGCTACACTCACTCAAGTGTGAGAGTAAATGAATACATTTCTAGACAAAGGAAAACTTAGAGACTAAGTGGCCAGCAGGCCCGCTCCTTAAATGCCAAAGCAGACTTTTAGGCAGAAAGAAAGAACGCTAGATGGGAGGTTTAAAATGCACCAAACATGTCGGTAAATCCCAGGATCGTTTAATGACTAGCAATAAACACTGGACCGCAAGGTCAGTTTGAACTGCAAGGTCTTATCGGTTCAAATCCAACAGCCGGATCCTTAGAAATTCTATACAGGGTTGCTATGATTCAGAACCAACTTGAAAGCAATTAACAAGAACAACAACTATAAAACAGGTTTTTTAAATAAAAAGTGTTTGGTAGGGTATTAAAAAAAAAAACAATAGCAGCATTTGAATCAGGAGGCAGGTAACACCTGAACTGATGTTCTAAGGTCTTTGTGATGGTTGGGAGAGGAATCAAGATGTTAATAAGTTTTATACTTTTAAATATACATTGTAAAATATCTATTGTTGTTAAGTGTCTTCCGGTGGGGTCCAACTCATAGCAACCATGTATAGAGTTTCTGAGGATCTACTGGTGAGTATGAACCCCATTCCTTGCGGTTCAAACTGACCTTGCGGTCCAGTGCTTATCCTACAGCACACAGTGTATAATTTACAAATTAGTAAAGGAAAACATTTAACAGTAAAAAAAAAAAAATCTGAACCCACTAGCCAGCACTTAAAACAGCAACAACACACACACACACACATATATATAATGTATACATATATATATATATACATATTATAAAAGTAGAAATAAATCCAATTAGATTGGTAATACAATTAATGAAAACAGACTAAATGCAATAGTTTAAAGACAGGACTGTTAAGACTGGATAAAGAACTTGTCAAACTAGATTGTGACTAAAATCTAGCTAAATGATTATAAGTTAGGTCTAAAACCTAAAAAAACCAAAGATTAAAAGTAAACGGGTAGAAGGTGGGGCTGATGAAAGGAGAAGTGGATAGGTCTCTTGCGATACAATAGTGAATAATTGTTATCAGGACTGATTGTGAGGGTTGGAAATGCAAAGGTAGATGTTTTGTAGTAAAAGAAGGGGAGTGATTAACTTTGCAGTCCAGGAGCAGAGGTCCCTGAGACCACCAAGGGAGAAGAGCGGAGAGCAGGACCCTACCCAGAGAAGCAGTGACACCAGAGACGGAGGCAGAGACCAGAAATGGAGTGGCTGGGGACTTTGGACCCAGAGAAG